TAATACTCAAAAATCAATAGCATTTCTATATACTAACAACAAAATCACCGAGAAAGAAATAAGAGAAGCCATACTCTTTACACTAGCAACCAAAGAAATGAAATATTTAGGAATTATTCTCACGAAAGAAGTGAAAGACCTATACAGGGAAAATTATAATACACTGAAAAAAGAAATTGAATATGATTTTAGAAAATGGACAGACATCCCTTGCTCATGGATAAGAAGAATAAATATTGTAAAAATGGCTATTCTCCCAAATCTGCTATACAGATTCAATGCAATCCCAATAAAAATACCATCAACATACCTCGTGGATCTAGAGAAATCGCTCCTAAAATTCTCTGGAGCCAGAAGAGACCTAGAATATCAAGACAGTTATAAATAGCAAAGGCAAGGCAGGAGGCATTACAATCCCTGACTTGAAGTTATAGTACAAAGCAACTGTAGTAAAATCAACATGGTACTGGAATCAAAACAGAGCCAAAGATCAATGGAATAGATTAGAAGATACAACCACAACTACAAACACACTCTACCACCTTATTTTTGATAAAGGTGCCAAACATGTTCACTGGAAGAATGCCAGCCTCTATAACAAATGGTGTTGGAAAACCTGCCTCTCCAATATGCTAAAAACTAAAGCTAGACGCATGCCTATCACTATGTACTAAATTAAAATCTAAATGGATCAAAGATCTGAATATTAAAACAGAAACAGTAAATCTATTGAAAGACAAAAGGGGTAAAAATCTTGAAGGCATAGGAGTAGGTAGAGAATTCATGAACAGGACTCAAACCGCATGGGAAATACTTCCCAGAATCAATAACTGGGATCGCCCCTTATTAAAAAGTTTCTGCATGTCTCAAGAAATCTCCAGCACAGTGAAAAGAAAACCCACAAACTGGGAAAAAATCTTAGTGAACTGTCCCTCAGATGAAGGACTTCTGTCTAAAACATATAAAGAATGAAAAAAAATCAGAACCCCAAAATTCAAAGATCAATCCAGAAATGGGCATCTGAGATGAATACACACTTCTCAGACGAAGAAATACAAATGGCAAATAAATACATGAAAAAAATGTTCATCATCATTGGTCATTAGAGAAATGCAAATTAAAACCACACTGAGATTCCATCTCACTCCTGGAAGAATGGCCAGGATCAAGAAAACTACCAACAAATGCTGGAGAGGCTGTGGGGAAAAAGAAACTCTCCTGTACTGTTGTTGGGAGTGTAGACTGGTATAACCATTGGGGAGGTCAGTCTGGAGATTTCTCAAAAAGCTGGGATTGGAAGTCCCATTTGTTCCAGCTACTCCACTTCTAGGCATATTCCCAGCAGAACTGAAAACATCGTATCACAGTGATATATGTGCACCCATGTTTATAGCAGCACAATTTGTAATAGCCAGATCTTGGAAACACCTTAAGTGTCTATCAACTGAGGATAAAAAAGTTGTGGTATTTTTATACAATGGAGTACTACTCAGCTACAAAGAATGATCACATTGAGATATTTATAAATATATGGGCATAGCTTGAGACCATGCTCATAAGGAAATAAATCAAATTCACATGTATAAATACCAAATATTTTCCCCAGTGTAAGAAATGGTAAGAATACATAAATTATGTGGTAAACATGATTCCCCATTATATTGCTTTGAAGCCTTATAATGTTTTCATTCATTAATTGGAATTGTTTTATTCTGGGATGTTTGTTTTTATTGTCTGTGATAATATGAACAGTTATTTTGAAGAAAACAAGACAGTGTAATAGCTATTGCTGATTTAATATCATCTTGTTTTGAAGTCCCATGAAGCTTTTGTTCTTCTGTCTCCATCGGTTTATCGTGTTGTATCTTATTGGATTTTATTATATGTGATAGTATAAACAAAATTTTTTATAGACAAGGAGATATTATAATAACCATTGTTCATTTTCTGTTAGTTGGTTCTGAATATCCTGTAATATTTTCATTCTCTTGCACGGATTTACATTGTCTTCTTATGTTTGATAGTATACAAAGGCATACTTAAATATTTCAAGGAAAGAGACACTATGGTAGCTACTCTTATGGCGGGTTATCTTGTGGTGAAACACTATGTTGCTTAAATTGTTCTGTTATGACCTGTGTTGTTATGTTGTTATGTCTTCTTTTATCTTAATCTCCTTTTTAAAATTTTTTAATAAAAACATTTTTAAACTTTTTAATAAAAAAAGTTTTTAAAAATACAGAGATTCCATTGCCAGCACCAAATATGTACACACATACACATCCCAAAATTTTATTGATTGAAAGATGTTCGAAGCTTTGTCTTCATGTATCAATTGTACTGAGATTTAATGCAGATTAGAAAAAGGCAAATTGTAAATAGCTTTGGGCAGCAGTGTTCCTCAGAAAGATTTCTTTACTTTATAGAATCAGTATTTTTAAAAATAAAATTTACTGTGTATATTTAAGATCTACAATGTGATGTTATCATATACATAGTAAAATGTTACTATTGAAAAGGAGATTAACGTATCTGTCATTTCACACAGTGACCCATTTTGAAAATTTTTGTGGCAAGAGCAGTTGAAATTTTTTTTTTGTGGAAGAATGGAAACGTTTTACATACATGATATGTAATCACAGTTCTCTTTCTTATTAGAAGAGTGACCTAACTAAAATGCATTAAGTAAAATAATTTAGCCTTGCTGAGACTGATTTTCTCATTTGAATGGTGACTAATGGACTCTTTCCTATTACCCTATCTGACTTTAAGAATAAAATAATCTATGAGGAAAATGCCAATTACATGAATTCAATCAGTATGAAGTATATGCATATGTTGAAACATCATATTATGCCCCATTAATATGTACAATTACATGTTAATTAAAATAAAAATTTAAAAAACATTGAAAATGAGCTGTTTCCTAAAATGTCCACTAGGGAGCATGATGCCATTGCTTGAGCACTTGCTAAAAATGATCTTATAGCCTATTTTGTAGTGCTCAAGAAAAGAGGTTTAAGTAGAAAATAAAATCCTTCCCCTGAGCTCCCTATTCCCTCAGCACTATCCCTAAAGAAGTCTAAAACCCTAGGGATATTAGCAAGCCCCTTCACATTGCTGTGTAAATTTAGAGGGCGCAGTATTTAATCAGTCTTCTTGGAACACAAGTGGGCTTATTTCCCTATGTTTACCTGTCCAGAAATAGGAGCAGCACTGAGCTCATATATGGTCAATCTTTATGTTCCTTTTCATCTTCACCCTTCAAACATTATGAGCTTTGGAGTAAGATAAAACTGGATTCTCATTCCTAACCCACCATTCTAGCCCATTGATTCATTTCAGTGGCTTCTGGTTCACATTCTTGATTTCTGAGAAGATAAATGTGGGATAGTTTTAAGTTCTATGTGGAGACTGAGAGAACAGCTTTCCCTTCTTCATGTGCTTGAGAATCATCATGTCCCTGATTTGAAATTTCACTGTTTTTGGCAGTGGTGGGCATTGGGAGGGTAAAGGGACTTTTCTAAACCATTTGGAGTCAGCCTACATTAGAGAAAAAGTCCTCTAGGAAGGGTATGATCATATAATGTACAGTAGTTGTCAATTATGTTCCTTGTATTGTTTCCCTCTCATAATGTGCTCATCTTCAACACAATCTTATTAAAAGTTAAGGTCTGGTCTCTTGTGTGCAGTAGGAAATTAGAGAAGGATGAGAGCACATTGTGGGGTAAAAAGGTAAGAAGGGAGAGAGCAGGATTCCCTTCTGAGAATCCAGACTGGTGGTACTCTTGTTTATCCATCAGAAAGCACTGCTCTGACAACTAGAAACTGTATGAGGGATCCAGATGACATATTAAAGGTAAAGTTATAACAAGCGTACCTTTAGTCAGTGAGTGTCACAACTGAATTATTAAGGGAGCATTCCCTGATTTGATGCCATACCCTCAGCCTCAGTGCCTGTTGAGCTGTCTGTGGAGAATTAGAAGAACAAAACAGGACAGGCCTAATCTATCTTGGACCTGTACTTGGTAAAGAGAGCTCAGTCTAAATTTCATATCCAAAGTTTCTATTATGCTTCCTGTGTTTGTGCAGTGCAGTAGCAGTCCAAATTCCACAATGGCCCTGAGCACGAGCCTAAACAATTTTAAGAAATCTCAAGGTGCCTGCGTTGTGTGCCCTTAATGATAAAAGGGTCATAGATTTTGGAGAAATATTCTGGTGGACGAAATTTATCTGTTCCATCCTTGTTTGAATTACATACATTTAGATTTCAAAGAAAAAAAGCTGCAGAGTACCTACTCTTAGTTATCTCTGGGTAGAAGGATCATGCATAATTTTTTATTCATTTCAATTTCCCAAATTTTCTAAGATGAATTAATTTTGTAATCACAAAATGTTGGCATCTTTTTAAAAAGTAGATAAAATTGTATAATGAATATTGTCCAACATGGAACCTAAACTTACTTCTACCACTAGATTTTCAAGTTTGCTGCTTATGAATGAATGGCACTACTGACACTAAAAGTCTTTGTATATGTAACTAGGGATGATTCCCAAGGAAAAATTCACACTAGGAAGAGCAACCTTCCAACAGTTTTCACTCGGGACAAAAGTTAGGTGTTTTTGGAAGGAAGGAACGAGCCTGTCTTTCTGGGTTGTGCATTTCCCTTCTGACCGGATTCCCCAGGGAAAAAGTACCCTACAAATAAATTCCGAAAAATACTTTTTCTCAAACTTTATTATGGAAAATTTCAAACCTATACAAAAGTATAGAGAATAGTGTAATGAATTCTCAAACACCTTCACACAGCTTCAACAATTATCAATTCAGAGCCAATCTTATTTCATCTGTGCACTCATCTACCCCACCTTCAGGTCATTTTGAAGCAAATAGCAGTAGCATATCATGTGTAAATTTTTCAGTGCACTTCTCTAAAAAATCAGAATTTTTTTCAAAAAATGTTAACCACAGTACCATATCACACACCTAAAAAACAAAGTCAAAAAGACATGTTTTTATTTCAAATTCTCTAAGATTTGGGAACACAATCAATACATTTCACTGGTACCATGAGGAAGAGTGTAATACTAAAATGGAGTTACCTGTGTTACAGGGTTAAAGGAAATAGAAGTTACCATGTTAAAGCCACTTCAGAAACCTTTGTAAGAAGCTAGGGAAAAGTGCTGACATCACAGACCCCATGGCAACCTATGAAATTTTCCTTAAATATTGTTTTCTCAAAAATTTTCTCCTGGAAGCAGCTGATCTAATCCCTCTCTTTTTAAATCTTTCATTTTTTCCCTTCACTTACAGCTGTCTTTTTCTCAAATGGTTCTAAGTGACAATTCACCACTCTCATCCCTCTAGAAACTAGATGGGATAAGAAGCTAGTTGAGTGTGCTGAGAAAAGGATAAACAATATGGCCAACTGAAACAGTGACAGAGGCGAGCTAAATGGTATAATTTAGTTTGGAAACTACCTATATTGCAGTCTTACTTGGCTCTGACATCAAATAATACAGTATATTTAATCTATAAAATAGCTAAAACAATTTTTCTTCAAAGAGATGTTAAGATGATGTGTAATAAGTGTTGTTAGGTCATTGCAAAAATTTAAATGTATTATTTGTATTATCATTTTAAAATTTACTTTATAAAATCACAATATTTTCTGTGTTCATTGTATTTATTTTTAGTTATCTTTATAGCAAAGGATTTTTTGAATAAAATTTTAAGCAAGTTAACAACAGTACAAAAACTCTAAAATATTACATGAACTGATTCTATAAAACATTGCCCTAATTGATGGCATAATCTTGAAAGTGTGCCAGCTACTGTATAGTATGACATAGAAATGTGAGCAATAATTCTTGTCTTTGAACATCTTACAACTGTCTTGAAATGTTTGTGAAACATCTGATAGACAAAAGCCACACACATGATACTTAGACAGGATGTACTCTACTAGCACCAGATTAGGAGGGGAATGTTTTGTCACAGAGGGATTTCAAAATATTAACTGAATCAAAGACCTTTAGTGATGCCAACCATATTTCAAGTACTATCTCATGTGTAGGATCTGCAAAGTGTAAGGAAAAATAGTCTTTGTTCTCAGAGACACAGTGTAATGAAAAAGGCAGGCACATCAAAAAAGCACAACAAAAGCCTGGCTATAGGTACTGTTCATGTGCAATTGTGTAGCAATCAGAGCAGGAGGAGTCGGTGGAATAGACAGGGAAAGAGTGTCTGTCTCGAGATGTAGGAGGAAAATCAGATGAACTGTCTCCTCAGGAACATTAGAAGTGCTCATTTATTCTTGACAATTCTGTTGAGCACTGGATTCACAACAATGATTCATTCAGAGTAATCTTGAGCTTCTTTACTGTTCATCTGAGAAAAAAGAAACCAACATACAATTATTAAGCTTATATTAACAATTCTTCCAACTGACAAATTTAGTGAGAACTTATTTTAAACCCCAATTACTTGGTATTTAGAAAGCCTTCCCAGAATTATCTAATGCAGATGCACTATTGAGCCTGTATTAGCAGTTGAAGGAAATATAAATATAGATATAGATATATCATGACACAAGAGGTCAGGAAACCCAGTTATTTTACTACATGGGCATGAATATTAACACATAAAACTGCACTCTAGGCTTACAGAAATACACATTCCTCACTTAACCAAGTTCAGTTTCTGTAAGATCATATGATTTGATGCTAAATGAGGAATTGTACAACAGAGTATGTACACTAAAATATTCATAACAAAGAAAGAAAACTCCAAATTGACTCTGCTTTTATTTTGCAAAAGTCTTACATGTAGTAATATAAAACATAAAACTACACTACTGTGCTGTATAGTACAATCAGCAAAAATTAAAGTATTGTATAAACAAAGTTTATGGTACAAAAAAGACAAGATATAGATAACTGTACAAAAAAAGATTATAAGTCCGAACAGTGCAGTTTGGTTGTAATTCTAAACAGTCATTAAACAGGTAGGTGGTTAAAGAATATCTATAATATAGGCTGTTTTCCAACAACCAAAGGGTTTCCAGAGTAGTGGCCAATAAACAGTGAGAAGATCAAACAGAAAGGGATTTCTTTAACCCAGGCTGTCAGAAAAAGCTTCTATCGCCAATGACAGATGTAAAAAAACTGAGCATCAAACAGTATGATAACTTGGCTGAAGGTATAGAGTAAGTAACAACTAGATCTGTCTGGCCTCCAAGCTCCAAGATATTTTATATCACATAAGCTTTCTCTCATTAAATGCAATGTTTTACTACATTCACTATAGTTACTTCTACTTCTCATATTGCTTTTTACCCAAAACTGTTTAAAATCTGCTAAATACAGAGTAATAGTTCATCAGAGACAACTACTAGGAAAATATTGGTAAAATTATTTTTGGTAGTGCCTGGTGGCTCTTGTAAACAAAGAAAGTCTGGAAGTGAAAGCTGCCCAAGGAAAAAATAATAATTATGTATAAAATTACAAGTATTATGTCTTATACATATAAACCAACTAGCATTCTATATGAACCTTTTGAGATAAAACCATGCAAAACAATTAAAAACCTTTATATCAAATGAATCTATGTAAAGTAATAAAGCAAATGAATTAATGCATAATAATTTCCCCTTTAGTTTACTTCTTTGAAGTGTGGTGAACAGATTTTGTTTCTACACATACATGAAGTTACATATATGTACAATTTATTGAAATCTTTTAATATACAGTACAAATTATGCTTCTAGATCTGCATATTTATATTAAACTATTTCTTCTTTATACATTTTCAAAAATAAAATGCCTAACTAAGGGTCCAGGAGTGTAGTACAGCTTTACAGAACAAGATTAGCATGCATGAGGCCTTCAGTTCAATATCTACTACCATCACCACCAAAAACAAAAAACAACAAAATCTCACACCACCAGAAATAAATTTGACCTGTTGAAAATAGAAAAATACGAGCCACTGATACTCATTCAAGAAATAAACTTTTGATTCATATCTGTAAACCAGTGGAATATGTTTTTTTTCCTTTTTTAACTGAGAAAGCTTTATAATTTAGCTGTACATTTTTAGAGCAATCACAAAAATTGTACAAGTACTGGAAAAAAATTCCAATAATACATCAATTGTTAGAGCACCAAACTGGGAAAAATATCTGCATGCTAGATATGTATGGTATACCTGGTCATGTATTTTAGCAGGACACTACTGATTTATACTTGTAAAGAAAAAAAAGTATCTCCATAGAGCTTTTAATTATTCTGCCAACACTGTGTTTCACAGGATATTTTGAAGAACTTAAATGATCCTAACAGTCAATTCTAAAAAACTCTTTTATTCTAAATGATAAAAGGGGGGGAGTCTAATAATTCTTAAGAACAGATTATGATACTTTGCCTTTGTCAGATATATAACATAAGATTATGTGTACTTTGCCTTTGTCAGATATATAACATAAGCACCAAATAAGATGAGGTGTCATTACCTCTAAATAATTATTATTAAGTACAAAATAACATCCATAGTATTTGCAATAGCAATCTAAGTAGAAAGATTTGTATCCAAAAATATCCATAGACTGAAATTCAGTGTATCTGCTGTGTCAGTGTCAAAATGGAATGTAGAGATCTTCTTCAATAACTAATAGAGAATACATTGCATGGTATATGTGAGATGTCTAAACAGTAACACCCAATTTCTCTGGAATTAAAAATATGTGTGTTTTATATGTATTGTCAATATGTACCATGGTAGAAAAATATTTGATCATACTGTAAAACTCAGATAATAAAACTGCCAGCAACTTTTAAAAGCCACCCAATATTAGTTTACTCTTTTATTTGGGATTCCATTAATCAAAAAAAATGCTTTCTGAAATAAGACTTGCACTTTATGTCTATATCAATGCGAAAAAATATTTTAAGGATGGCAGTAATTTCTTTACAAAGTGCAATGACACTCACTTTTAGCTACATATAAAAAATTGTTGAAACTGTAATGTAAACCAAATATAGGAAAATACTGTATTTGAGTGCTTCAAAGGCTAAAACATGCAAAGTACACAAGGGGGCACTAAAAAGGAGTATGAAGTTCAAAACTATTGGCTAGTGTTTAAAGACAGGATGGCAAAGTAATGATTATGAGGAAAAATGCAGGACTTTTAGGTAACACACAATGTTAATCTCTTGATCTGTATATTGCTTACCTGCTTGTGATGCCCAAGAAAAAACTGATTAACCTGTACAGTTCAGATTTATGCATTGTTCCCTATGCCCATTGAAACAAAACACTGCTTTAAAAAATGGTATCTCCATTAAATTTTAATACAAATTCTGTTTAAACACAAAGTTTTAAATAATCATATACACCACACACATTTTTTGGAACTGGTAGTCAAGCACAAGGCCTTGCCCTCCCAAGTCAAGGTATCTATTCCTGAGAAATATGCTCAGTCCTTATTTGACCATTAACATTCAATATTAAAGCAGAGGATGTTTTTTAAATGCTCAACTGTTACATGTGGAATAATTTTTCCACTTTAAAAACTCCTCCTTCTCAAAGGAGGAGTTCTTTCCATCTAATTTCACGCAACTAGGTAAACAGAGTAAGTTCAAAAAGAGACTTGTGCATTGTAGATGGAATTCCTGATCTCAAGTAAGTACCCTAGTCAATATAAAATCAGTGAATTTACTACCCAGAAGTTTGTCGTGTGAAAACAAAATATTTACCATCACTCTGCAGAAAAGATTGCTCGGGTGTCCCAGCAATTTGAGAAATCTGTAACAGCTGAACAGCAATAGACTTAACTCAACTGGGATGCAACCACCACCAAAGATTCCATTCCCAGGGTTCCTCCTGCCAGTCCTGGACCTCTAACTGGGTTGTCACTCAATTCAAATATGGGAGCTAACTTTTTCTCCAAAACCAACGTGTGCAGACAACCAGGTTTCTTCGGAGTGTCCAGGAAGGGAACTGGAAGTGGAGCCGGCAAAACCGCATTCTAGGAGACAAACGCATCAAGATCTGTCTGGCAAGCCATCTCGCAGAAACACCTGCTGTATCAGGTGATATGTTGTAGCTATACTGGAAATGGAGAAGTACCCGTTGTGAAAAAGAAATGTTTGGACATATCACATGATCGATACTTGACAGACCAAACACATTTCTGAAAGGGGCACACGGGACCCCATCCGTGAGGCTAAAATTACAGTTGACGTTAGCAAGAGCACACAGGACGTAAACTTTCCAATGTTTCTTTCTTTTTTCTTTTCTCAGTTTGAAAGGCAAGTTTCCACGAAACTCCTGCCCCAGAAGGGCTCACAGAACAGGAACAAGGCTGTGGATGAGAAAACAACTGAAAGGGATAAACCAAGAAGACGCCAGCACAACCAAGCAGGGAGAACTTGACAGGCTTCCACGGCGGTGGGGAGGGGGCGGGACACCCCCAGCACCCTAGCGCCAAAAATGTGCACACACTCACAGGCACAAACGTCCATCAGCGCAATGCGCGGGGCGGCTGGGAAGCAACCATCGGGAGGCGCTCACACGCCTCCCCCGCACCCTCACCGCCCCACCCCACCCCGAGAGCCGGGCTAGCGAGGGCTAAGGCACCTTTACGCGAAATCCCCTGCGGCTTTGGGTTGCCCAAGGCCCGAGCATTTTATGGTGTCGCCAAGAGGCCATTCTTCAAAGCAGCTGAAAAGCGTGCAAATTGTCCGAACACAGTGCCCGGCAACTGAGACAGATCATTTGCAAGCGAGATTCAGAGGTCTGGCTGCCCACGAAACAAAAGAAGCCCGCTCCGGCCCGTGCGACGACCGCACATGGCAGGAGAGGCGCTCGGGCGGCCGCACCGCTGATCTCAGGGGAGGCTAGCGGAGGGGTCCGGACGCGGAGGTACGTACTAGGGAGCGCTCTCCAGCGGCAGCGGCGGCTGCAGCGGCGGCGGGGCGCCCGAGTTGCCATCGGTGGGGGAGCCGCCCAGCTTCAGTTTCTCCAGGTACTCAGCATGCACCGGCTTGTGGCACTGGAGGACCCTGATGGCATCGTCGATCTTGAACCACTGTCGCTTCCTCCCGATGCTGAGCGAATCTTCCCAGTCTTCCAGCAGCTCGGTGACGGTCAGGACGTACACGTAGGTCCTGTGCTTGCGATCTTGGTTCTGCTCGAAGACGCCCAGCAGACGACCCAACTTCCCTTTGACGCCTGCCTCCTCGTACACCTCTCGCACGGCCGCGCCGCCCGGCTCCTCCTCGGGCTCCATGCCCCCGCCCGGCACGATCCAGCGGTCCGGGTACCGGCTGCTGCTCACCAGCAGCACCTCGTCCTCGCGCTCGCTGCGGAAACACAGGCAAGCCGCACGCTTCTTGAAGCCCTCGGGGTCGTAGGTGCGCGTCTGGTTCGGCTTGCACTTCATCCTCGAGGCCGCCGCCGAAACGCCTGGACAGAAAGGGCCTGGCGAGCGCGGGAGCGCGGGCCAGCGGGCGAGCAGGCTAGCAGGCGAGCTGCCCGGCAAGCCAGCCAGAGAGCAGTGAGCGCGGATGAGCCGGGGATTCCGCTGAGAGGTGCAGCCCGCGGACGACTAGGCGCGCATGGGGCGGAGGCGGGGCGGACAAGGGGCGGCGCCTGAGTCGTCCCCCGGGCCGGTAGCGGCCTGCGGGCACGCGGAGGGTCCCCAGCCCGCAGCCTGATTGGAGGCGCCGCTTCCGCCGCCGCCCCGCGCTAGGCAGCCCGCGACTCTGCTCGCTGTCCCCCATGGCGCCGCCGCGCGCCTGCCTCTGTGCGGGCCTCGGGCCACCGCTCCTCCCCTCCCTCGACTTTCCCCCAGCCCCAGCTGGGGTTGAGAGAGGTGAGGCAGGCGTGTTCCCAAGCGCGTCCACCATGCAGGGCGAAGGGGCGGGGATCTCCCCGAGCCCCCAGAACGCAGCGCCGCGGACGCACTGCGCAGGCGCCCCGCACCTTTGGGGCTGGGAACTCCTGCCCGCGCTGAGAGATGCTCTGCATTGTGACTCTCCACTGGAGTCTCTCCACGTGTGCCTTCAGGCCAGGTGCTGCTGCTCTCCCTGGCCCCACACAGGTCCCTGCTCCTTTGCAGGAAACACACGCGCAAGCCTTTGTGCACACAGTGCCTTGAAGACTTCCTCGCCGCCTTCTTTGCCCAGGATGATTGGCGTGGGCTTATTTATAAGAAGCCCCAGGACTCCTCACACTGACCAGTGGCATCTTTGCTGAGTCATGCCATGCACAGTTGCTTCTTCAACAGGTTCTTAACCTGACCTGGCATCTTGGCACAGCCCTTCCATACACGCTTGTCTTCAAACTGCCTACATCTACCCAACCTCTCTGTGCCTCAGCTTCCCCATCACTCAGCTTCTCCTGGTTTCTGCCCTCTCCCCTGGGAATTACACACACCTCACCACTGGAGCACTACTCCAAGGAATCTGCCATTGAACAGCAAGGGACTCCGCCCTCCATGGAGCTCCGCCCTGATCATGTCTTCTCTTTTGATAAGTGCTGTTGGGGTTTTGGGACCGTGTACATGCAAACTCCAGTATGATTTACGTTCTCAGTCTAAAGAGTCATGTCATGGAGCAAGGAGGTCTCTCTGCCCTGTCACCTCCTTGTTTTGTCATCCTGCCTGCCCTCTTAGCCAACAGTGCACCCACAGTTCCCACTGTAGCAAGCTAAGCCCACCCTCTCCTTTCCATTTCTTTGCAGAATTCCCCTGAGCCTGTCTTGGCCTAGCCTTAGAGAGAAGACCTCTTATGTGCCCTAACCTTTATCGCCTCACAACTTACACATTTTTCTCTCCTGACACCCTGCTGGCTTCAGCCAGAGGGATCCTGGATCCTTACTTCTTCAACTAAATAATTGCTTCATCAAGGGAAAATGCACTGTAAGAAGTGGTTATTAAAAACACAGTCCAATTTTCAAATAACTTAGCCCTGTTTCCCAAAGCCTTCTTGACTGCATTCATTCACAGAAGCACTATGGAAAATGATTCCTTTCCCAAGGACAACAGACACCTGAAGTATTAAGCATGCTACCACACAGAGGAATGGGCTAGATACGAACAACGACATAAAATAGAAACATACAATGACATCAGTAAGTGGAGATACCACTGCTACTGACCAAACAGTGGTAGCAGGCTGAATTTCTCAGCTTGTCCATACTCACAAACACACAGATGATGTGAAACAACTGCAGATAAATTTCGATACCTTCTTACATTTCTCATGTCTGAGACAAAATACCTGACACCCAAAGTTAAAGGAACAAGGTTCGCACATTTTCCAAGTTTCAGACTATAATCCGCTGGCTCCAAGGCAGGCTGGATGGATGGCAGATAGCAATTGCAGAGGACTGACAGTTTACTTTGAGCAGGAGGCAGCAAAGCAAGCAAAGGGATGCACACAGCTCTTTCTGTCCCTTATATCTTATGCAGGCTACTTAAGGTGGCTAGCACTCACACCCTCAGTCCCAGTGTCCTTGTTCCCAGCACTGCACCATGAATCAGTACCAGGCTCAAGGCCTCCCTTGTGACTGCATGAGGCTTTGAGAGGACATCTAGACACAAGCTGTAACAATTACTATCAGGAAGGCAAATTTACACCCTAGTATCAAATTACTAAACATTGTTTTAGGATTTGTTTCTGGTGTAGTGACAGCATAAGGAGAAAACAAATGACTATCATATTAGTAAGAAGTCTGAAGAAATGAATATACACTTATGACTCACCTCATGGTAAATGCAAAAAAAAAAGTCCTGAAAATGCACTAAATTTGCTTTATAATACACAGCAGTGATATAACATACCTCTGGTGTAATGATTGTGTTTGTCTCTCTTGTTATATTTGGAGACCCCCTGACGTACAGGTCCATAGTTCACCAGTCTTTGTAAATCCAGCGTCTGCAATGTTCTCTGATCTCACTAGTAGGGCAGCCCTCAATATAGGTTTAGTTGGTTAATCTTGTGGGAGTGACATGCCAGGGAAAGCGTTCTGTTCCTGTACCTCAGTTATTCCAGAATTTGCCACTGTTTCTACACAGTAAAATTCCACATGTCCATGGCCAGCTGCGACTCAGCAGTGAACCACTTCAGGGTTGGAAGTGCACCTCATTTTCTGGCATCTTGGGCTGTATGCTTTTCAACACACAGCAGAGCTTCTGTTGGCTCCAGGTCTGGGTCATGAAGTACTACCATGCTTGACAGGGTATCATGCATTCCACAAAGAGGAAACCAGCCCCAGAGGGGAGACAGTTAACTTGTGATTAATGCTGATACCTATCAGCGGTCTGCTGTACATAAGACCAATTCCCTCAAAGGTATAATGGAATCACAAGGGCCACTCAGATATTCTAACATGCCATGGGTTCATTTGATGAGGACAAGGCACCTAAGTGGCAACATTTGGTACAAAACATGTGATTGGGAGGCTGCCACAGTGGTACAAACCCATGCTCCCTGCTACTTGAGAAGTTCAGGTAGTATGAGCCCCTGTCTCAGAAAACAAATGTGAATGAGACAATGGCTGCACTCCCAGTTCCAGGACAAAAGCCTCAAGAACCACCAAACTAATCTGCTTCTCCTGGAGAGGTGCACTGTATGCACCGTGTTAGTATAGGCATGGTGGTGTGTTCCAAGTCTGTAACTTCTCTGGAAATTCAAGAGTGAAGGGAAAATAGCATTTCATCACTTCTTGCCATTTTCTCGGTTATTATATAGAGGCCAGATTGAAAATCAGTGTTTGTATTAGGACTTGACCACCAATCACATTCATAGATTCCAAACTTAGATTAGTTCAGTTAAATTGCTTTTGCTGCCAGCCTAACATCCCAATAGGGCACATCATAAATTTTGCCTTGCGTGAACCTTCCGTTCTCTGCAGGTTGAAAATTCTTCTCATTGCATCCTGTTTTCATCTGTGTTTTTGCTTGTTTTTTGATCTCTTAACTACAATATCAGAAGATACTATAGTAGCTGTAGGTGCACAAACCGTGTGCCAGGTGTTTGACCTGTCCATGATGTTCCTAACATGCCTGAGATAGAAATGCCAGTAGATCAACTAAAGAAATGAAAGGTCAGAAAAACAGGTAACTTGCCCTTCATCACACAGGCAGGAACTGGCACTTCTGTGACTAAAATTGTGCTTTCACAACCCATGGACGAAACTGGCAAACGATACCCTAAATTTTGAAAAATATCAAACATTTTGTATGTCCTTGAGAGCCAGCAATATAAATGTTAACATTGCATGTCGTGAGGATGTCATCATGGTATTTATTCTTGGAGTTTAACTCCCAATAAATAACATTTTACTTGTATTAAAACTATTGCAGTTTTAACATTCTGTCTGAGGATAACAGATTTGAAACTACAAATATTATGAGTCAGTTATGGAACATTTTGGGTTGACAAGATACTGTGTGTTCAAAGTATGTTGTCCACAGTATGTGGGCCCAGGCGTCAGACTTCTAGTCCTTCAGCATGTAGCATCTAGAGGTGTTTCTGGCTTCTAGAAGTTTCCATGACATCTGACTTCTAGAAGAAGCCATAGGATGGCACCTACACAGAAAGCATCTTCTCCTCTGCCTCTAGCCTGGATTCAATGATTTTACTGTCAGTGTTTCAGCATGAAGTGCATTACTTTGGCAAACTTGCAGCAATGCTTGTCATGTTCAACTGAGAGTTCATGGTACAGGACATGCAAAGACCAAATTGAAGCACAGGGTCCTTCTCCACAAACATCTCATAGGAAATTCACAACGTGAAGGTTAATTCTGAATTATATATCTGCACAAGATACATATGCCCTCTGTGAATTTCAACATCCACAGAAGAACATTTCAGACACAGAGAGATTATTAGAAAGGCCGATGTTGATTGTGAACATCAGCAATAGTCAGGTAACAGAAGCTGTTGAAAAGCAGGAAATGGGATAAAAGTCACGAATTCCCCTTATTCCATCCACTGTGGAAGCTGTCTTAGTGCAGGAAACCAGGAAGGCAGATCTTAACCCTAGTGGTTTGTAATGATTTCTTCAAAGTGTTTTTTAATGTAGTTTTACACACAAGGACGCATACATACACTTTATAAATTATCATCCCAAAACTCTGATCATAGCACAGAACTGGCTGGTGTTGTAGCCCATCTGTCAGACACAAAAACCTCAATGTCTATCACACTAAACCATTTTCCATAGCAAGTTGTTTTGATTTAATTCAGAGCCAGTACATACCATCCCCCTGAGTTTGCCTCTTTTTTACTGCCCACAGAAGGACCCTAGAACCCAAAGCCCCGCATCTTTTGAAAGGAAAAGGAGTGAGAGGACCATGTATATAGCCACATGAAAAACTATGTCAGTCTTCTAATCTTCCAGCATGTACTGGCTTCTAGCATCCCAGGTCTCACTGGGAGTGTAATTCAGTTTACTAGCTGGTGTTCTTTGTTATTTCTCTTCTGTGTCATCTCTCTGGTTCTGGCCTCTATCCTGCAATAAGACATCGCCTCCCAATATTCCAAACCCCTTTACGCTTTGT